TAAGGGCTAGGGGTTCAGTAAATCTCTTAAGGGGCTCATTTTTAGAAGTCCACAATATAAGTTGGTAATAAGTAAAGCTAGCTTTATTTATTTCTTTGAATTAGCACTATCCTTTTGATCTTAATAATAATTCTGCTATAACTATCAATTACCATCTTCCCCCTAGCCATCATTTTCTCACTATCTTGAAAATTTTCAGGTCTCATTTAACTCTCTGTCCCCAGGTCCTCCAGATTTAATTTTCGGTATCATGCCGCTTCCATTAAGAAATGCTTCATTTTCTTTGTGTTCTTTTCTTAATAACAATTTTTTCTCTCTGGCGACTGCTGAAGTCAACTGAGTCCTGATACACAGGGGTGGCATCAACGTGAACAGTTTCTCGCGTCTTTTGTGAAATGATTTAGCACACATGCTCCTGAATGTCCTGTGCTACATAGACCACAGTGAGGCCTCCACCATTGGTGTCACTATGGACTAACTAGAGAGGACATCGGCTGTGGCCTTCCAGGGGGTACTAACATCTAAGAAGGTGATTAGCTGTCTATATTGTGATCTTGCACTGATAATGTAAGTAATCTTAAAAGACGTATGCTTAAAATTTGTTAGAGGAAAGACATCTGTATACAGTCAATACATCTTTAAAGTTTTTTTTGGTGGCAACAAGCGGGCAAGCAATACATTTGAATGTAAAAACTCAGCATATCAAAGTACAAAGAAAAATTACCCTGGCCCTGGCCAGTTTGGCTCAGCAGTTGGAGCGTCGGCCTGTGGACCAGAGGGTCCTGGGTTCGGCCCCAGGTGGGGCATGTACCAAAAAAGAAAAAGAAAAATGATCCTGTTAGACCACATCATTACAGTACAAGGTTACTTGTGGGTAAAATAAAATAGCCTTAACACGTGATTGGTTTATGTGCAGAATTAAAACATGGAATTTATTTTATAAGCTGGTTGCCTGCAGGCTGTGGAAATAGTGGAAGAGGTGAGTTCCTGATTATCTGGGGAAAAAATGTTGGGGTATCTTATTCACAGAGAAAACTGGCATTAGAGATTAGTTTTAGAAGAGGCAGCTTAAATGAGGTCACTAAATATCACTTAGGAAGAAAAAATATAAAAGCACGTGAGTATTTTTTATAACAGTCTTATCAGAAATAGTCAGGTTAAAATTCTTTATCGTTTTTTTCATTTCCCTTATGAAATGTCTTTGCTGAGATCTGAGATATGGTAAAAATAACTGCAGTTGGTTTGGAAAACAGAAATAGGCTATCACCTTTTCTGACCTTTGGGTATATTGAAGTTTCTAAGATTAGTATAATAAAGCATTAAAAAGAAAACTCAGATTTTCCTGAATAGAAAGATTGACCTCCTAAGTCCTTCACTATCTACATATTTCTGATATTTTTGGCTCTTGTAAATATCAGAGGAAATTCAACCTTAATTATATCAGTACTTTGAATGATATTTTCCAATTATTTGAACACACTTATTAAAGAAAATTCCTTGGAAGTATAGACCAATTTAACATTTTTGGATAGTGAAATACAAAATTTTTTCATAAGAAAATCACATTGTGGGAAAATAACCTGGTGGTAATGTTTGGTCATCAGCTCCTGTGTAAAACAGGCAATGGCCGGACAGTCCTTCAGGCGCTTGGTAAGGTGAGAGCCCTCACGTCGTGAAAATGGCTGAGTAAGGGGCAAGTGAACGTGAGGGGTGCTGGCAGGCTTGGATGCAGATGCGTGAGCCTGATGAGTAAAAGACTCCCCCCTATTCACTGTCAGTACATTTACGGAGGAGAAGGATGGCCCAGGTGTCAAGGACAACTCAGGGCTTGAGTGCTGGCTCTGACCTTGACTAGCTATGTGACCTCAGGTAAATTACTGAACCTCTCTGTGCCTCAGTGTTCTCATCTTAAAATAGGAACATAAATATGTATTCACAGAGCTGACATTAGGATTAACACAGTTAATATTTATAAAGTACCTATCCAGATCCTAGCACATAGTAAACACTGTGAAAGTGTTCATTGAACAGAATAAATTACTGACCAAACACTTTGGAAACACTGTTCCAATTTTGTTTAGAATTATATGCCTAGTTCAAAATGCTCACCTAAAAAATCCAAAACACATACAGCTTTCAAGCACATATTTTGTACTTTGGGACACAAATGTATTCCATTCGTTTTAATACAGTCAGCTATCCATGTCTACATGTTTATAAAATATAGCTGTTCAGATACACTTAGAGTTTTCAATGTTTGATGTTTTTGTTTGTTTAAAACAGTGTCTAAACATTCATTTTCCATTTGAAAATCAGGGTGGACTTTAAAATTCAAGTTATATTCAAATTCTTTCCTTTGAATTTAAGACCTAAAAGTAGGGCTGTGGCGGTTAAACTGGTTCCTTCAGCAGAACTATATCGACTAAAAAGAACGATGTCAGCAAGTGGCAGCTTTAATTACCAGTTTGTTCTGCCACTACCACTTTGCATGGCAGTTTTACTATTTATAAAAATAAAAGCTTCAGATGCGGTGTCATACAGCTCCCCAGGGCAACAGGAAAGTACAGGGGAAGGAGAGGGAGGGACCTGCAGGGTCACGCCATGGCTGTCTTCTGTGGGGTTGTAAATCAAGGCATGATTCTTACACGTGAGAACATCTCAGCAGGAAAAGGGCTGGGGCAGCTGGAGGAGCCTCTGAGATGCAAGAAAAGAATATAATTTCAAGACCTTCTTTTGCTTCTTATTTAGGTATTTCAACCTATAGCTGGTCAAATACCCAGACAACTATAGAAATTCAAAAGCATGACAAAAATGTAATATAAAATCCCTACTTAAAACATTACAAACTGTAGAAGAAGTAGTTCAGCCACTTCCAATTTTTTTTTTAGCTTGAGGAGATAAAGCCTTCTGCTCTGTGACAGCGGGGTCTCTGTGCTGGTTGTGCGTGTAGCCCCAGTGGCCCAATGACCGTTGGTTGAATTAATTCACTAATTTGATGAATTTCCTAATTATCAAATTCCTCCTTTGAATGACCCTGCTGGAATTAACATGGCTCTAAAAGTCAGGGCATCGTTTAATAATGGCATTTCAATTTCCTTTTTAGCGAAGTTCTTTTATTTATTTATTTTTATTGAATTTATATAAACAAACAAACAGACTCACAGACATGGAGAACAGAGAGCTGTCAGAGGGGAGGGGTGGGGGCTGGGTGAAAAAGATAAGGGATTAAGAGGAAAATGGAACCTTCATAGACAGACAACAAGCATGGAGATTGCCAGAGGGAGGGAGTGGGGGAAGGTAGGAGAGAGTAGAGGGCGGATAACTGTGATAAAAAGACACTCGACTTGGGGTGGTGAATCCACAATACAATAACAGTATTTCTTTTAAGTGATTTAATTTTTTTTTTTTTAAATTAAGAGAACTTTTATTTTTAAGAAGAATTTTTATAATATATTAATTCTCTCACTTTCCAATTCAATCTGATAAAGTCAGAGAGTGCCATCCTATAAAACAGAACCAACATGATGCCATTTTAAAAGCAAATGCTTTGCATTTGTACATATTTCTTTTTTAGAATTTCAAGATTCATTTTTAAATTAAATTTATAGGGGTGACATTGGTTAATAAAATTATACAGGCTTGAGGTGTACAGTTCTATAATACACCATCTGTTCATTGTATTGTGTGTTCGCCACCCCAGTCAAGTCTCCTTCCATCGCCATTTATTCCCCCGTACCCTCTTCTACCTCCCCCACCCCCTTTCCTTCTGGGGATCATCAAACTGTTGTCGTGTCTATGAGGATTTTTATGTTGTTTAATCACTTCACCTCTTTCACCCAGCCCCCCAACCCTCCTCCCCTCTGACAGCTATCAGTCTGTTCTCTGTACCTATGAGTCTGTTTCTACTTTGTTAATTTATTTTGTTCACTAGATTCTATGACAAACCCAATTTCACCGAGAAAGAAAAAACAAAAACAAAAACGAAATAACCGGCCAGTGTGGCTCTGTGGATTGAGTGTCATCCTAAGGGCTGAGAGGTCCCAGTTCGACTCAGGTCAGGGCACATGCCCAGGCTACAGGCCTGATCCCCAGTAGGGGGCGTGCAGGAGGCAGCCAATTGATATTTCTCTCTCACATGGATGTTTCTCTCTCTCTCTCCCTTCCTCTCTCTAAAAAAAAAAAATCAATAAAAACATATTAAAAAATAATTATAAAGTAAGACTGATATTCATATTAGGAGTGTCTGTGTTTGTTCCAGCAACTTTTTGTTTCCTCATTTTTATTCTTCCCCCACCACACCCTACTCCATCCCTCCTTCCTTCCTTCCTACCTTATCAGCAATATAACAACAAACATAATCAAGTCCCTGCCTTCATGGATCAGACATTCTTGTAGGAAGAGAAAGACAATAAATTACCAACAATTAGTTAAATGATGTGATTTCAATTAGTGATACGTGGAAAATAGAATGAATACTGGGATAGAGAGTGACCGGGTGGTGGTGGTGGGAATGGGGAGCGCCTTTGATTATAGAGGTCAAGAAAGTCTTCCCTGAGAAGGTGACATCTGATTAAGATTTGAGTAAAGAGAGGGGAACAGCCATGTAAGAATCTGGGAGAAAGAGCATTTCAGACAGGGGATCTTATACAAATAAACTGATAAGCATGGATTTCTCTGCTTTAGATTTTATCTTCCAGATTAAATTCTTTTTCTCTGCCAACCCAGCCCCAACTTTCTTACACAGCATGTACCAGCCTTCCCTCCACCCCAGTGCCTAGCACAGGGTCTGGAATAGAATAGGGTTTAACAAAGGCTCTATGTGACCATTGTCAAGCTCTAAACTGTCTATCCCTACCACCTAGGAGCTGAGATGCACATAGAAGCTTCTAGAAATCACAGAAGGGAGACACCAGCAACAAAATGGGAGGTTTGTTGTTAACGCCACTTAGATAATCTTTCACTTTTCACATAACTTTGGCTTTGCCAATTTGGCAACTTACCATGCCCAGTGTATTCAAAAAAATCAGCTTCGTCAGGGGTATCGAGTTCATCCACATTGATATCAATTTCATCTGGACTCTCCAGGTTATCATCCGAGAGAATAGACCCTTCACTTTGGTCCAGAGAAAGATTAATATTTGGGGCTGTGAGCTTGATTCTCTGAGGATGAGTACCATTAAGATCCAGAGAATTAGGAGGATCTAAACAAGAAACAGAGTAACAACATCAGGTATTAGACCATACACATGGCTGCCAAGAGTGGGTGTGGGCCGCAGTAGAAAACCATCTTTAAAGCCCTTTCAGCAAAGACAGGCCTGATTTTTAAAAATCCTTATATGGGATGTAGACTCCCTTCCTGACCAGCAGCCCTGGGGGTGTAGAAATAGGAGGTGCGAGCCATTACTAAATGAGCAGAAGACTAGTTTTTAGAACTGCTCTGTTCAGATTTGAGAACTTGAAACTGATATAAATTAAGTTGAATTTGTATGGTGCACATTACATAAGGAAAACAGTTCAGCTTACATATATCTGATAATGGTTCAAGCAGACCTGACTCCTGCGGAAGGGAGGGTAAGAACTTTATCTGCTGTGTTCACAGACACTCCCCAAATATTTTTCTTCAGTTTCTGACAGCTCTGGGTATGATGTGCAGTGACCTTTCCTCAGCATTCTTTCCTTCTTTACTTTCAATAAAATTGAGGTATCCTACCATATTACATTTTTTTCTTTTTGATTAAGCAGCCATTACCCCTTATGCCAATATTGTTTGTCATTGGTTCCCATACCGTAAGGGACAGTCTTATGCTGAGGCTTGTGAGGCAGCTGCTACACTTTCACTGTAGTGTGTATCTTGCCATGACTATGCCATTCACTTAACAGAAGAAGAGCTGGAGAAGTGCTTTTTAATCAGGTTGATTAGAACTAAACACTCCTAACAATAGAACTTTCAGGATTCTCTATCCTAAAGTATTTCGAAGGTCACCCAGTATACCTCACAATTCTGGGATTCAAATCTGGTCTTCTTATATGGAATTTAACCCTGTTTCTTTGACATTAAGAGTTCTGTAGAAAACATCACCCAACCTGTGTTCTGTGTAATGTTTTTGTGTATCACTTGGAAAAAGTTTCTAGAAGCCAATAAGTTTGAAAAACCAATGGATTTCTATGTTACAGAAATTCTCAGAGCAGTACCATACAGAAGAAATTTTTGTAATGATAGAAAGGTTAAGGAATTGAAATAAAGTTAGTGCAACTGAAGAGCTGAACTTTTCAAATTTACTTTAAACTTAAATTAATTTAAATAGCCACATGTGGCTAATTGCTACCATATAGGATAACTATAGCTTTAGTGATTTTATTATTCTTAAGGGCCTTATGAACCTTGAAGAGTAGAGTAGATGTACAGTAGCTACCATGCTTACCTGGCCATAGAACATTTAAAAATAATTATCTCGTGCTCTCAGAGGGGTGGAGGGTAGGGGGGACAGGAAAAGATATGGATAGCCCATGGACGCAGACAATAGTGGGGTGAAAGCCAGGAGTGGGGTGGGCGCTGGGTGGAGGGGGTCAAAAGAAGAAAAATTAGGGGACATCTATAATGCTGTCAACAAAAAAAAATAATAGATTAAAAAATAATTATGTCACATAACTAGTATTTTGACGAGTGCCCTTAAATACTTAGATCCAAAAAAAAAAAAAAAATGCACCCTGGCTGGTTTTGCTCAGTGGTTAGAGCATCAGCCCATGGACCAAAGAGTCTCGGTTTTAATTCCAGTCAAGGGCACATACCTCAGTTGCGGGTTGGTCCCCAGCCCTGGTCAGGGTCGTGCAGGAGGCAACCAGTCCATGTGTTCCTCTCACACTGATGTCCCTCTCTCTCTCTCTCTCTCTCTATTTCCTTCCCACTCAATCTGAAAATCAATGGAAAAATATCTTCGAGTGAGGATTAAAAAACAAAAACAAAACAAAAATAATGACTTCCTTCTTCCTACTCTATTTTAGGCTTGGCTGATAAGGACAGGATTCAGGATCTTGGTATAATCCTGAAGCTGGTACAGTGCAAAGCAGTATCCTTAGTATAAAACAGAAGTCATACAGATTGCAAAAGAAAATTTAAAATTCCATTTTGAATATGCCTTGGGTTGTAAACCCTTAGAGTACAGGGATTCTTTCTTTCTTTCTTTTTAATATTCAGGTTGCTGAGCCTTTTTGATATCACATTTCTAATTTTAAATATTCTCAGACTTAAGTATAAGTCTGGCGGACTTAGATGCTAGTTTGAATTTGGTATTATGATATACGGTAGCCAATTCTCACGGGAAGTGAAAACATCGGCAGATAAGGCCCAGAATATAAAAAGTGGCCCACACTAGTGAGCATCAGAAGTCAAGTCAACTCTGAAATGAACGAAATTGAACCTAACACCTTCTTCACACATATGTTTTCCCCTCTCTTCACAAGTTGAATGCACAGGAAATGGTTCTCTCACTGAATAATGAAAATGTTTGAATATAGAACACCGCTGGAGGAAATAAACAAAGGCTCCTCTCACCAGGTCTCATGTCTGCAGCACTGGGACTCTGCATTCCCTCCTCAAAGGCGATGTCCATTCCTACATCCTCTGACAGGAGGCTGAAAGAAAGCAAAGCAAGGAGTGGACAAAGGTGTATGGGGTTTAATGTTCTTTGGAAGGGAAACCCAGAGATTCAAGGGAAACATTTTTAATTCACTTGGAATAAACCAAGTACGTGTATGGAATCCATTGTAAGTGGCCACAAAGTAGGATAAGACTTTCTTGGTTACTGTGAATGAGAACCACGGGTACAGTGTTACTCTGCATGTGGCAGGTCACATAAGTAAAGACACTCAAGTAAAACACTCAGAAACAGGAAAGGCAGATCACTAATAAAATATACTCAAGAGGGTATCTAATATATACTTTTCAAAAGAAAACAATATGTGTGCTTTGGAGTAAAGAGATCTGACCCTGTATATATCTATTCCTCTGTGCAAATTTGAGCATATTCTTTAAACAACTGTGGGCAGAGAAAAGTATAATCTGCTGGTCTCTCTTTATTTGTAAAATAGGGATATAAGCACCTACCTCACTGAGTTGTTGAAAGATTAAGTAATGATGTAAAATGCCTAAAATTCCTAAGAAGGTACCAACTAATGTTATTTTCTTTAATTCTTTAAAATCTTAAAGTTCATTGTGAATTACATATTGGTGAAGATGGTTCTAGTCATGCGTTACCATCTCTCCTCTCTAATCAATACCAACCCCAGGACCATTTATATTAATTAGCCCACTTGGTAAAACAAGTGTAGGGGAATAGAAAAATACTGAGGAAAATTGTGACAAATTTAAATGCTCTTGTAGGAAACTGATCACACTGTTTACAGTCAATTCCCCTTGATTTATTTTCACCTCCCATCCCTCGTTCAGTAAATCCCCATTTATCATGATAATACATTTTTCTTCTTGGCGGCTTCCACATAATTTCAGTCATCTAGGATGAATCCTTGTGATGTAGACACTAATCCAAATTTAAACATGATAAACAATAGTGTTAAAGTTCTAAATTCAGTGCCCCTCTTTCTTTCTCGTTGAGACTTCTTTCCACTTCAGTCTGGGTCTACCAAACATTTGGAATTTGCTTATGTAGATGGTCAAACTCTCTAGGATCCAAGTCAAAACCCTCATTGTCAATACACCATGATGAAAACAAACTTCTACATCTCTAGTGATAACTGTACCTTTTCATTTATTCAACAATATGTACTGAGTGTCTCTTCTGTGTTGAGGCTAGAGAGGAAAAAAAGAGACTAGCCTCATTCTTGTGGTGGAGATGGGGCAATGGGGTTAGAGAAGTAAATGCCCTTGAGAGAAGTAAATGCCTGTGTCCTTACCCACAGACCCCTTCAAAAACACAACCTCAGGGAGTTTCTTTCTCAGTATATTTGCTGTGGATTCTACCCTGTGTGTTCTCTAAGATGAATCGTGCATCTTAACAGAAAAACAAGAAGCAGGAGGTTGGTGTGTGAGTCAAAGGCAATAATGTATTGGCAGGAACAAGATAATCTGTGTCAAATACAGACACCACATGGGGTGGCAGCAAACCAAAATGCCCACTGAAAGAGGAGGGTGTGGTGAGCAAAAAAAAAAAAAAAAAGGACTGCACTCGGCACTAGATCTGAAAGTCCCGGGACCCAGATGGATGTCTGGATTTTCCATGCTGCTGCAGTTGATTTCTTTACAATGAACCCTTGTCATCTGAAGTTTTCTGTGTGTTCTCCTTGACATTGACCCTGTACTGTAGTACCTGTAAAGTGGCAAAATGCTGCTGTTAAGAGCAGCTGGATTCAAATCTTAGCTCTGATACCTTTGTAATTAACCTAGATATTAATAACAGGAAAGGAGCAAGGGGAAGGCCAAATATTATAGGCAGGTCATTTGTGCAGCTTCGCCTGGAAGCTGCAGTTTAACATTTCCCAGGTAGCCACTGGTCCATTCCCCACTGATCGCTGGGGGAAGGGACTGGACAGGGGGAGAATAAACGCATGCCCAATAACGTCTGGGTGATATAAAAAGGTACTTGCCTGTCAGTCACACTCTGGCCAATGTCAGGTCATTGGCCAGAGTAGGTGTGGCCACTGCAAATGTGTGAAGAATTGAGATACTTAAATCCCTAAACAAAGAGATTCACCCTCTTGGCTCCTGGCTCTCTTGGTTCCTCTTGGTTGACTCCTGGCTTGGGAGGCTTTCACCCTTCTGTTCTCTTGCATTTGCCACTTGGCTCATGGCCATGTGAACTCCATACGCAATGAACTAATGGACTGCAATTAGCCTAATGCTAAACTGGACTCAATTCCAACATAGAACAAAAACTTTGGACACTGGCTTTGTTTTTATTCATTCATTCATTCATTCATTCATTCGCTCATTTATTATTTATTTATTTATTTATTTATTTATTTATTTATTTATGTGCCCCTAGAGGGAAACAAACCTGGGACTCTCTGGTCCACAGGCTGATGCTCCAACCGCTGAGCCAAACCGGCCAGGGCCTGGCTTTGTTTTTAACTCTACTGTATCCCCAGATGCACTTCTTCCAGGACTGGTTTAAGGGAAATGGGATTTTGGAAACCTAGGGATATAATTTCATGCAAATAAAAATCAGTCAGCCTCCACTGCAAGTCTCAGAAAATTCTTTTTTCTTGAGATAGCTTAAGGAACCCACCCCCAGCACTCAGTGGAGAAAGGGATACCCCACTTCCACCGATAACAGTTCAATCACTTGTTTTATGGCAAGTTATTCAGTTTCCCCAGCAATAAAAGAGGAAGGATTTGCAATGCCTGGAAATAACACTGAAAGAAAAAAAAAAGTTATCTATTACTATTGTAGTTCTTTTTGCCATCGATTATAGCTGCCTTCTCCATTAGCTTTGAAACTTCATGAGGACAGGAACTATGTCTGCCTTCTTTACTATTATGTCTCCGGCACTTGATAGAAGCGAATCCCTGATAAATATGTATTGAACTGAATTATCAAGGTTGAAACACCCAAAATGTACTTATACATTATTTTCTGCCTATGAGTCAACCTAAAAACAACAACAAAAAACACACAAAAAGAGATATTATATCACTACCTGCCTGACAGAGCGCATAGGGTACTAGGCTTAATTCCAAAATAAATATAAGGATTTTTGGTGTTTTTTTAAAAATAGATAGATAGTATCAGTCTTACATTTTTGTAGGTTTTGTTAATGTTTGTAAGTTATGGGCAACATCATGGGACAATTGAAAGAGTCTTAGATATGAGGTTATAGTAGTTCCACAGTTAGTGCTGACAAGCTGATTAGCTCTGAGAAAATTAGCTGTCCATCTTTGTGATTTTAAATGGAGGTAATAAATACCTAACATCACAGTGACTGTGGAGAATATGAAAGTACTCTATAAATGATAAAGCATTGAGTAAGTTTAAGGAATTACCTTCCCTCATTTTTAACATAATAGCAGGATCAGCGATTTAACTGAAGTATGTGTCATGGTTAGACAAAACATAATTAAGGTAAGGGAAATTTTCAGTACCGTACAAAGCCCCAAGAGTGTGCAAGTGTCACTGAACCTCAGTTAATAGAGCCTTTGCTTCTCAATATTCCTTTGCAACACAGAGCAGAGACCCTATGAAGAAGGTGCCAGAAAGCCAGAGGTGGCACACATGTGGGAAGGTCAAAGCTGAAGGCTATGGCCAGGGGGTAATCAAAGAGGCACTGTCACAAACATGTGGCTGTTGCAGAAGGCCAGGGGGACATTTTAGAAAACCCCAGGGACAGAGAGGGAAAGCTGAACCCGAGTTGCACTAATTGTAAATACTTCAAGCACATGCTTATATCAGATACATAAATATTTGCAGAAATGAAGTGGTCAACAGAGTACTTGGTGATTGAACAGGATGGAGTTTTACAATTGGTAACGGAAGCCTCTTGGGATCTGTTAGGTAGCAAATCAGTCCAGTGCGAAGGGATGTATTTCCTTATCAATCCATAGCAACTACTTAATTTGGGGTTTTCTGTGTACAGAATGGAGGTGGTTACCAAAAAGGGTGAGGGCGTTGTAAACACATTAGTCTGATTCTAGTATGGCTGACCCTCCAAACACATGCTCAGCTCTGCGTCTCCACCTAGAGGACGGATTCAGAACTGTTGTTTACGGAATGGTTTATAACCACTAGAAACCAAATATTTCATCAACTATTTCTGGATCTTGGCCTTTAGGGGACATGGTAAAATTGTATTTTCCTGCTCTCTGTGAAATTAGGGCAGCCACATGACGTGCCTTGACAAATGAAATGAGAGTGGAAGTGGCAGGTATCACTTCTGGTCAGAAGAACTGGAAGCTATTGTCTTGGTGACCACGAAGGGGCTCTGGCAGGCTGCGGCCTAGTTACTGTGAGGAGCTGAGGCCCCGACTAAAGCTCACTGGATATGTGAACAAGGAAGGAATTCTTGTTGCATTTTTCCCTGAGATGTTGGGTTTCTTTGTTACCACATCTTAATCTAGCCTATTGTGATTATACAGCTGGTCTTCAGTGCTTGTTTTGAAGGGAATGTCAGACTCATACTGTTATCCTTATCTGGATAACCCATTTCCCACATTCTCAACCCAGTTCCTGTTGATGGTACACATTCTTGTCTGCATTGCTAAAGCATGAAAGAACATTTTAAAAATGGGGACAAAAGCTAGGAAGGGCATCAAATGCTTTTAGTTATTCCATAAACATGAGTGTTAATATATCACCTTTATGGTTTTCATAGCTACCTAACACTTGTAAATTTGCTTGCTATTTTTTCATTGATTTATTTTAGTTAAATAGATTTATTTTGAAATGAATGTTTGTATCACTAGTATTTATGGAAATTAGAATCACTTGCCTAAAAAAATAGTATTATAAATTAAATATAATAAAAATAGAATAATACTATTAAATTCAAGGTAGAATCCCCTGGGTTCTTACTCTGAGACTTTCTCTCTTTGGTAAAAGGTATCTGGCAGGATATAATATCATGTACCATCATAAATACAAAGAAATTCTGTATAAGATAGAATCTAGGATTCACTGCAAATC